AGCACATCTAGCGCACGGCTGGGATAGCGACAATTCTGTTCTCTCGCACTCTCCTCTGTCTCGCCGCTCTCTTGCGCTGCTCTGCCACCTAAACCTCTTAAGCTTTCCTCGAATCCCCCCCCTACTTGCCAACAACAGAAAGTGGTTTAACCAGGCTTTACCCGGAAAATTCGTCTACCCTTCCCAACACTCTCAATCTAATTGTCCCTTCAACCCGGCACTGGCCTTAAGATGAGCATGCTGCTTTCTTACAGGCTCATCTGGCAGACCGTAGACCCCTTTGCGGTTATTGACCCATGGATGTTTTGCTGCTTTTTGTCGTTGCGTTCGAAGTGGAGCGGACGGAAACATTTATACTATGTCGATTGATTTTAAGATGCACATCGTTTCGTCATTTTCTCGCTGAATGATGAGCAGTTTGATGCACCGCCGTTTTTCACTTCGATCATGGGTTTCGATTTGTGGGGCATCAGCACGGACCAACAACAGTCCTCAAGGCAGGAACTCGGTAAACTGTCTTGTTGCTTGGCAGCCATGCGGCTTTTGTGAAATGTTACATGAGTTTGTGTGCGACGAGCGACCGATTTGTTCAATCATTTCAATCTCTTGGATGAATGTTACACAGTATTAAGCTGGTTTACCACAGCACCATCTTTGAACTGTGTGAGAGTTGTTTCTTCCTTGGAGCGTAATCCTTTACACTGCAGCTCGATGGATGATTCTGTCCTCCGCCGATTTGTCGGCGCGACAGCGCCGCGCTACGTCGGCGGTCTCCATGATGTTGCAATCGCAAGGATCTTATCTGGAATTGTTCATCGATGGACTTTGAAATCTGGCTTGACTACCGGACGTTCATAGCACCTCAGGCCGGGCAGCGCTATCCCGCAGGTTCATCTGCTGGAATTCCATTTCCAGACGAGGCAAGGATCCAGAACCTTTGGGCCCCTTGTCTGGTTTTATTGCGCTGCCTCGTTGCTTGACATGTCTGAGCGTATACCCAAGGAGCGCGCTCAAGCCCTGCAGCGCCAGAGTTGGCAGCCTCCGGCAGTTGAGCAGGCAACTTTTCAGAAGAGACAGATAGCCACTGAGGTTTTTGTACTCTGCACCTCCTGCGGAGCTGTACAACCCATGCCAGGTACTCGCAATGACCAACAACAGCAGCCGGACACGTGAACAACAACAGTGTGCGACCGAGATCAGCTTTGAGGGTTCTGCTGGCCATGTTCATGAAGTAGAGGGATTGAAGCAGATATATTCAAGGGGGGCTTGCTGCAGATCCGGCCGAGGATGGCAGTGTTTCATCATCTGCAGGACTCTTCCAGTTGTCTAATCGGTTGCGGGCCATGTCCGTTGTTTGGGTTCCATAAACCCTAAACCCTAAACCCTAAACCTAAACCCTAAACCCTAAACCCTAAACCCTGAACCCTAAACCCTAAACCCTAAACCCTAAACCCTAAACCCTAAACCCTAAACCCTAAACCCTAAACCCTAAACCCTAAACCCTAAACCTTAAACCCTAAACCCTAAACCCTAATCCCTAAACCCTGAACCCTGAACCCTTAAACCCTAAACCCTAAACCCTAAACCCTGAACCCTAAACCCTAAACCCTAAACCCTCAACCCTGAACCCTGAACCCTAGACCCTAAACCCTAAACCCAAAGGTGGAAGTCGAATCATGGCAGGACACTTGGGCCCGATGCGTCTTAGAAATGCAGCAGCTTCAGCACCTGCAGCAGCTTCAACAGATGCCCGACTCCAAGACGCCTTGCAGAGAAACGGCTTTTGGGATTCAGAGCTTATAATATATAACATAATACAACATAATATAACATAGTATAACATAATATAACATAATATAACATAATATAACATAACATAACATAATATAACATAATATAACATAATATAACATAATATAACATAATATAACATAATATAACATAATATAACATAATATAACATAATATAACAATATATATATAACATATATAACATAATATAAACATAATATAACATAATATAACATAATATAACATAATATAACATATTATATAACATAATATAACATAATAACAGCATAACATAGTATAACATAATATAACATAATATAACATAAACATATAACATAATTAACATAATATACAATACCAGTAACATAATATACATAATATAACATAATATAACATAATAAACATATAACATATCAACATAATATAACATATTAACAAATATAACAAATAAATATAACATAATATAATAATATATAAACATATAGAAAATATATTATATAATAAACAATATAACACATAAAACATATCATATAAACATAATATACATAATATAACATAATAACATAACTATATATATATAACATAATATAACATAATATAACATAATATAACATAATATAACATAATATACCATAATTATAACATAATATAACATATTATAACATATATAAATAATAATAACATAATATAACATAAGATATAACATAATATAACATAATATCCACAATGTAACATATAAACATAATAGAAATAAGATAATAACACACAAATATAACCACATTATAACAGATATAACAATTAATAACATACCACATAACATAACCCTAATATATAAAACATATAGACATAATATAACATAATATAAATAATATAGCATAATATAACTAACACTACATAATATACATAATATAACATATATAGAATATAACATAAACATAATTAACATAATATAACACAATATAACACAATATAATAAACCAAAATAATATAAACATAATAACATAAGATAAATAATATAGCAATAATATAAACAATATAACATAATATAACATAATATACATAAAATAACATAAACAACATAATACAACAAATATAATAATACAAACATATATGATAACATATGATATTTCATAAAATAGCATAATCGAAATAATTTAAAAAATATAGGTAATGTAATTCAAATAAATAATATAAAATATAGGTAATATAATATAATATATAGTATAGTATAATATAATATCATATAATATAATATAATATATATAATATGATATAGTAATATAATATGATATAATATTATATAATATAATATACGATAATATATATAGTTCAATATAATATAGTATAATTTAGTATAACAATATAGTATTATACAAGATAAGATAAAAGATAAGATAATATAGTGAAAGGCACGGCCAGATGCAGCAGCTGCTGCCCCATCTGCAAAACCTGGAGAAGTGTCTCGGCAAGGGTTTTCTAGTACTCAGTACTATAAAAAAAAAAAGAATATAAATACAATATCATGGAATAGAATATAATCTAATTTAATAAAATAATATACTATTGTGGAAGAACAGAGCATCTGAGGATGTTGCGCCAGCACCACACGACTGCTGCTGAAGCCTACAGGGCCTTCGCAGCGACCCAGGCGTTGGATGTTGTGCTATTTATGCATGCATGACCAACACGAGGCGTGGTGGGGGAGCCGTGGCGCGCACGCTTTCTCTCCATTCATTGGTGTCACGAAGCGGGGTGGCTGGTGCCATCCTGGTGATATGCTCACGCACATAATCCCCTCCCCCTAATATGAAACCCCCCTTACCCCCTAATATGAAGTACCCCCTCCATATACCATGATATAGCTATTTAACTTTAGGGGGTAGGGGGGGGGATTAATTTAGGGGGAGGGGGGATTGCTGTCCAGTTGCAGTTCGCTGCCACCTTCTCTTACATCTCACCTGGGATCTGCTCCCCGCACACACCAGCAGTGCTTCTTGCTAGCTGACGGCCGAGAATTAACTCCAAAAATGTCCAAGTAATCTGAAACACGTTTTTCATATCTTCGTTATGTAAATACAATTGGATAAGGAGCTTGGAGTCCAGCACCCCTTTTCGTCGTGGAACCCCTTTCATAACAGGCCTGGTGTGATTTTTGAGAGACAGAAGCGATAAAATTGACATGTTATTACTGCTCAAGACCTCTATGTTCTGCTACTTGTAAAGACTTGCATTATAGTCGTTGTTCGTTTTGAATCTCGAAGTCCATGTTTCCGCACACTTTTGGAATATTTATCGAATCGATCCTCCTACAGTATCTGCAAAGAGTTGATCAAACGAAATCACTAACACATACTCTCTTGCAAAGCTGTTGCGTTCTTTAGGTTGCCCAAAACGATGCCAAGGTGCCTGGCCTTGACTGACACTTTGCTGGTTGTGACCCTACCTTGAACCTCTGTTACCTATCCTGTGCCCTGCGTGGCTTCTATGGCCGGACCGATTCGTTGCACCTTGGACCTGTGCTGCAGCACCTCGAACCCGTGGTGCAATCAAGGCTAGCAACCCAAAACATGCTCAGTAGTCCAAACCAACCCCTTTATCCTGTCCCCCGATCAGCCCTGCTTGCGGCTCATGGCATGCCTTCGGTCAGATCTGCGTCCCTCGGGCCGAACCTACTTTGGTTCTCAACCGACTGAAGCTCACAGGCAGGTTTCAAGACCTTCTAGAAGCTCACGGGTTTAGCGGCGGCCCACGCCGTGCCATCCTGGACATCTTCTTGAACGAAGTCCTAAGCACTGAAGGACTTACAGCCTCCTCTTAGGGTGACTGAGTCGCTCCTTGCGTGTCCTACGCATGCCCTGTCCGATGACTGCTGCTCAGTGCAGAACACAGCGGAGCGAACCACGAAAGAAAACTTTGAAAGTTTGTGGCCTTACAAACGTAGTCAAGCCTCAACGCTGTGTGTTTTTGGAATTTGGGGTTTTGAACTTGCGCCATTCTGGGGATTTTCAATGGAACCATTCCGGATCTATAATACGGCTTGAAGCTTGGAATCTTACTGGGACCTTGATAAGGCTGGAGTGTTGAAGTTTCACAAAGTTCGACTTGCTGGTTTACGAATCCAACTCTCAGCGCCGTTGGTGCCTTAACCGTGAACAGCCAGGTGCAACAATGGCAAGCGCCAGCAATTTCGTCTTTAACATCGCAGAGTCATGTTCCCCCACCTGGCCTGGACTGGCCTGGACCATAGCAGAGCTGCTGTTTGTTGCAAACAGAGGCGAGTTCAGCGACGAACATCAACAACAGCGGCTACCATCAGTGGAGAAGTGAGATGTGTCAAGGTCCGACTCCAGCGCATTTCAAGCTGCATTTCAAGCCCTACGTGAGTCCCTGGCCAACGATGGTCCGCACCTGAACCAGTCAGTGGCAGTATGCCACAGTCTGCCGTGTATACCCATGAACTCGCAGGGCAGCTTGGCATGCCCGCCGGCTCTGTAGCAACGGGAATCCATGATTCAGGCTGGCTGCACGTGCTCTTTGAGTACATCTCCTGGTTAGCTGATCCCCTTTGCAGGTCGCGACTTTGCTGCGGGACGGGTATGCCACTGAGCATCCCTGCCCATGCCCTCCATACATTGCTCAAAAAGTGAAACCTTTTGCATCCTAAAGGCTGACTTTGTCAAGTTGTGTCCTGTGTCACTGTTTTTCTCCCAGCTTGGCCTTTCACCACCCTGCAGTGCAAGGGCATAGCACGTCATAAGCAACTGCCCCGCAACGTGATACATGCGTAGGTGCTTCATCGGGGAAACGAGAGCGACATTTGCTTCTACTATTGTATCCTTTTGCACAAACATCTGTCAGATTTGCGTGGCTAGTGGTGGCTACTGGGGAAGCGCTGTGAGCTATCTTCGCTGTCCAAGGCACAGGCACGAACGACTGTTCGAAAGAAGAACGCTCAAAGGACTAGAGGCCGATGGCTTTGCAGTCTTTCGGAGAGCTCTTTGTCAAATGCACTGGGAGGTCGGTATGTGGAGCCGGAGGTCCGTCACTTGTGGATTCTCAAGGGCTTTGTGGTGGTTTCTGGCATCCGCCCCAGGAAGAGCAGACTCCGTCCTTTCCACCAGCGGGCTCGACTGATCGGGTCATCCTGTGCCGCTTTGAGCTTGTGCCTCGGGGGCTTGTGCTTGTGCTGCTGAGATGCCTTTTGCGAGAGGACAAGAAGATCACCTTGGGAACCCACTTGACGCAGCTGCAGAGCCAAAACCCGAGGTGCCCGGAATGTCACTCATCTCATGCATTGCTCGCGCGACGTTGCCAGGTGTGTGTTCATCACGTCAGTAGCCCGGTGTTCCGTTGTATTTGCAACATGAGGAGCGAGCGGAATAGAGAAGGGCCGAATCTGATGTGATTGGTTTTTAAGGCGAAAGATCAACGGTATGGGCTTTCAATCGAAGGTGGGTTTTACTTCGTGTGCGCTTCCGCATGAGCATGGCTGTTAGGTCGGCATTGTGCATCTTTCCGAGTAGCCTTTTAAAAGTCGGGCGCCCCCCATGCTGTGAGGAAATTCTGAGCACTTTCTACGGACAGTACGGCAATGTGGTGGAGGTGCTCGTGGCTCACTCGAAGGCTTGGGGCCTGGATGTTCCTAGATGACCATAAGCACAGTACCCAAAGATCTTTACCCAAAGATCTTTGCAGGCGGCTGTTGTTAGAGGAAAGGCATGTGCATCTGTACATCTGATAGCCCTTTGCCGACACTTTCGAGAGAAAGTTAGACACACAAATGCAGAAGTAGAAGCGTAATTACAAGGGGCACGAGTGGAGTCAATGCAGCGATCTGCAACCAGCAGATCGAAGGTTAAGTCGCTTCGCGGACAAGATGCGCAATCACGAACTCGTCCTGGCAGCTGGAACCTAAGCAGTTGCAATGGTGTAACAGTGTAGTTTCGTGCCAGATTCCCCTTTCATCGGTTGGCACGGCGTTAAGGTTTGGGTTTCGTCGTCATGGACTCGCCAGAAGCTGCCCTGGTCTCGGTCCATGTCATGATAGGCGAGGCAGTTGTACTGCAACAGATGGCATGCGTGAGCGCTTGCTTGTACGTGGGTTGCTGTATAATACGACGTGGTGGTCGTTGATGTCTCCCGAGGTTGCGAAGATTCTGGCGGCCGGGGCGAACCAGAGAGTTGCCGGCCACACGATCAGCCCGGCACCTGGCGATTCTTTGGAAGCATGATGCGGCGTTCTGGTTTGGGACAAGAGTCCGACCTGGATACGGCAGGAGTGGAGCCGTTTCAGCGGGTCACCAAGCCCCAAGATGCTGGCCAATCTGCTCCTTGGACTATCTGTACCAGTGGCACAGCCCTGCCACATCCTGCCACCCCCTCTCTTCTTTCTTCCTCCTCCCCTCACTCCTCCTCCACCCCTCTTCCCCACCCCCTCCTCCACCCCCTCCTCCACGCCCTCCTCCACGCCCTCTTCAGCTTTCCCACATCGAAGGCGGGCTCCACTGCAACGAGCGGAGGCTCAACGACGATGGGCTCAGGCGGAGCCCTTACGTGTGCTTACGTTGTTCTCTTGGCAGTAAACGCATGGTTCCGAAAATGAGGCAGCACCACAATGAGTTTTTCTTTGTTTGGAATGTTTGCATGTTTTTCAGGCTCTGGCTCTGGAGGGTCAGGCTCTGACAAGAGCGACCCCAACGGCTCCGACAAGAGTTCGGCTGGCAGTGCCAATGGCCTGGGCGAAAGTGGTTCCGGTGGTTCCGAGGAAGGCTCTGACAAAGGCAGGGTCAGCCATATGGCAACTGCAGTGCACGTGATGTGGAAGCGAGCCATGCGCGCAAGCATGCTTCCAGGCAATGGCTTTTCAGCAGATGGGTCGCAGCCGAAGGCCGAGGTCGCGGATTCACATGTCACTTCTTTGCCCAACCAAAAGCATCTCCGACTCGAGCCGCTTGAGAAGCCTTCTGCTGGAGCCTTTCCGCAGGGCTCGGAAGATTCGAACCCTGGAGAAGACTCCCGGTCCGAATCAAGCAACAGGGCGGCGCTGGGAGCCCAGCCTTGTTTAGGGTTTGGGGTTTAGGGTTTGGGGTTTAGGGTTTAGGGTTGAGAGAGCTCAGCGAGAGCGGTGGAGAGAACGGCCAGAGACGGGGCTGCCCGTTCGAGCTTCTTAAGCTTTTTCGGCTGTATGAGCTTTTTCTCGGCTGTTGAACCTTGTTAAGCTTCAGTTCGGATTCGAATGCTTTGCGGATGTGTCTTTGTTGTATGAGAAACTGAAGGTCTCCAGGTAATGGCAGAGATGAAGAGCCATTCCATGAAGGAGTCCTACAAGGCAAGGGGCTCACACGGACCATTCAGACCTGGCTGCATGGCCTCCAGGATCTTCACAGCAAACAAGGGACCTGCCTTACTTCCCTCTGTCAGTGAAAGGCGAGTAAGAAGGAAGGCGGAGAAGTTGAGTTGTGGAGCTTTCTGGAGCTCGTGGAGCTCACCCAGAAATCTTCTGATCCAGTGATCTGTGCCCAGCCTCAGCCTCAGGCTATCGCAGAGTGCAGATGAGCCTCAGTGTAGATTGGCTTCTGAATGTCTCTAGATGTGTGTGCTTTCTCCAGATCGAGGTGGAAATTTCTGAAAGGGGCTAGCGGCCCTGGCAGACTGCCCTGAAAGAAGGCCGCCCTGAGCCGAGCACAGAGTGGCATTACTACAACCAGGGCTCGTAAAAGTTGTGCGATCCCCTAAGCCCTAAACCCTAAACCTATAAACCCTCAACTCTAACCCTGAACCCTAAACCCTAAACCCGATTCATGAGCTCATCAGGCTTTTTCCTGGCACTCCGGACCGTGCTGGACCATCTAGCCGTGGCAGCTATTTGGGTTGGGTTGTGACCGCTGGCCATGCTGATCTTCCATTGCGACAGAGAGCTGGAGCTTGTGTAGTTTTAGAGCTGATACGCCCCCCAAGTTGGTACTGGTAGGAGATGGCCAGGGAACCGGAACAACGAATCCAAGCAGTGCTGGAGTGCAGGTAGTGTGGCTTCCTGTGCGACTTTTTTCGACTTGAGCTTGTCCGTCAAGCGCAGGGATCAGAACAGCTAGAGTGCTCTTTATCATCAGGCTGTGCAAACTTGCAATGGCAGGATTTCTAGTCTTGAGCTGTAAGCACGAATCCAAGCTTTGTGTTTTCCAGTTGTGGTTTCCTGTCTATTTTGTTGACTTGACCTTTTCCGACGACAAGCACAGGGATCTCGCTTGTCCCAGTGTTCGCTGCCAAAACGTTCCTTGTCATCAGGCTGAATTTAGCTGTGATTCAGAAAGGTTGGCAGCGCCTCACCAGGTTTGGCCTGGTATCTCGGACGCGAAACCTCGATATGCCTAGTTCCTTGTGGCAGGTGTGTTTCAATGACGATTCTGCAAAGCCGATCTAATCCTATATACAGAGCAAAGCTCTGTTTTGTAAGATAGAGAGAACATGTGCTCGTGCACATACTTTGTTCCCGCATTAAGAGCTGAGGAACCCCGTTGGAGTGACCAGAGAAACGGCCTGCTTAGAAGACAAGCCGGGTCTGCACCCCAAGGCCCACTTGCAGACGGATCAACGAGCCTTAGGCTTCGTGGCCTTGTTTGACAGTCGGCCGTCTGCCTGAGTTTGTGCGAACACCATGGGCCGGGGTGCAGATTAACAGGCAAAAGAGCCTGAGCAGTGCCACTCATGCCAGAACCGTTTGGAGGCAACGCGGGCTCCGGTATGATTACATAGAAGTCCAACAAATGTTCACAGGCCGAAGCGTGAGAGAAGCATGAGATAGGCATAGCAACCTGGGGAGGCATGGGTACGGCTGGCCTGAAGTCAGGCAAGTCAGATGGCCCTCCAGCATCTGACACTCGGGAGGAGAGAGTTGCGTACAGTACACGCGTGCACAAGGCTTGCACCTCAACTTGCGTGCCTTGCAAATAGAGGCTTGCATGCACTTGGATTTCAAACGGCCTTGCCACGACAGATAGACAGCCACAACTTCCACACTGGAAGCCTGGCTGCCTTCCATGCAGTCGAAGAGAGCGCTCTGCACAGAAGAGCGCGCCAGCAGCTCGGAAATTAGGAGGCAACCAGCTGCTTCTCGGTCAGAACTTTATCGAGCATGGCTGATAACAAGTGCTTCCCAGTTCAGTTGTCGATCACCGAGAAGCAGCATGCCTCGCAGGCTTCGCACTTTGGTGCCTTTGTCTGTTCAAGTCACTCAGTCTGGTCTTGGCTGCAGAAGCACACGCGCAGTCCATCTTAATATCGCTGCAGGATCGTTTCGGAAGGCCATAGATGTTGCAAGATGCTTGTGCTTCGCGAAGCGGCGCCAAGACAACACACTTGCTTGAGAGCTTGGTGCACAAGCGGACACAGCTTTTGTGGTGCTCGCTTGAACTTTCAACTTGCGAGGGAGACATCACTGAAGCTCCAAGTGAAAGCCGAAGGTGCAGTCTAAGCGCTGCATGCGCAGCATTGAATGCATTAAATGCATTGAGAGGCAGTCCTCATGAGTCCTCATCCCATGTGCGCCACACAATGCCATGCCATACCACCTCTGACAGCACGCCTGGAAGGATGAGGTCTGTAGACTTCGGTTCGAGCAGGAAGGCTCGCCAGCAGCTAGCAAATGGAAAGCTGAATGGCGGCTTCAAAACTTCTGGACTTGAGAAAAAAGTGACTTGATGACCAACTGCATACGCAACAGCAACGTGTCAATGCATCATCTTGTGATATTCTGACTCAGCTGATGTCTTCAACCACTCTTTCTCCTCGACGTCCCGGGGCGCGTGTTGGTGGTGACACTAGTTAGACTCGGATTTTATCAGGACTCCGTCTGCTCGCCTCTGGGCCGGCCTCTTAAGCGGAGGGGGACGCCCCCACGCTTTTCTTTGCTCCCCAAGATGACGAAGAGGCGTGGATTATCCTGGTTATTGTGGGTGATCACCGCGAGTACCATGAGTAGTATGATGCATGAGAAGCATGATTCCTGCGCCGCAGTTTGATTCAATTGAAATGCTGTGTCTGCTGTTCTTGGCTGCGCTTGGTTCTTTCCCTCAATGTGAGATGTTGTAATCTGCAGCTTTTGCAGGCAACGTTGTATTTCACATGATAGAAGAGGCAGGCTGCAAAAGCAACATAAGACGCATGCTGCAAGAACAACACAACACTTCAACACCTTGCAAATCACGGCTACATCGCAGCCCGTTTGAAGTTCACAGCGGCTCACTGGAACCTGGGTGATTGCACGTGCTCCCGTACATGAAGATCCTAAAAAAGGCGACACATATGCACAGATGGTTGGCATGGACAATCCTCAGGCAAGGGTCAGGGGTGCTTCGAGTTTTCATGCTGGATGGCGCATTGCCACCCGTGCGTTTTCTGAGTAGGTTCCCAGGGAGGACGTCGTCATCCCGACTAGGCTTGTGTTATTTTGCTGTCGCTTGCACCTCTGAAGTTCAGTGTAATGTAAAGGATTTTTTCGGCATGATCCAGTGAATTTCTCGATGACTGGACAGGGTGCTACATAGCGAGATTACCAGCTTGGGGCTCAGCAGCTATGTGGCGTCTGGCATCCTTCGCTTTGCTAGCTGAGTCTGGTTTCCAAGACTTCAGGGTTTAGGGTTTAGGGTTTAGGGTGTCCATGCGAAAGAGCAGGCAGCACACACAATTTCGTGTTGGTCCGAACTGCCAGGTCCAGATGCCATGTATCCGCCGCCTCGCCAGCCAAATCGGGACCGGTTGCTGTGGAGTTGTTTGGAGCAAACACTGACGCGATACGCGGTGTACTGCTCAGCAAGGAACTACTTAATGAACTCTCAAAGAGTAGGAGGTGCTCTAAAAAGGCGCGCTAAAAGACACTACAGAGCCGAGAAGCTCATGTCCTGTGGGCAGTTGAAGGAGCCTTCCCCATATCCCTCGGATGGCTGGGTACAGCTCCGAGAGTTCGAGTTGTAAGCAACTGTAGGGAGATTTGCAGGGACATGGTGCCACTCCGAGGCCAGTATCTACGGAAGCAACGCTCCAGTGGTGAAGAGTTGGGTCCCAAAAGCGCAGCATGCGGGCAGTCGGCTTGCAGTGCAAAGAGAGCCTCCCAGCTTCTCCAAGCAGGACCAGATCCGTTACCGCCCGTCGAGACTGCCTTCTTTTTCAGAGTGGTGGCAAAGGAGGAGCAGAGCGCCGCATCCTAGGTTGCCGTGAGACGCATGACGAGCCTGGTCTCCTGAGCTGTCGCCTGTATCTGTTTTTTGGCTAGGTCTACTCTCAGCCCGATGCGACTGCCGCCACCTTCCTTGGCCACCGAGCGCATGGAGAGGCCAACATCAAGCACGATCGATGCTGGATGATGCAGGTGGCTGCAGTATGCTGCAGCATGAAGACCGCGAGTAGGTTCTCCGGGTGATCGACTTCCGCGGCGCATGGGTGCGCCTTGCCCCAGAGACAGAAGCACAGGCCACGAAGCCAAACATCCAGTGTGGGTTGTTCAGCACCTCTTAACTGTGCAGGTTGACGAGAGGCTGGTCGGGTAGATCAGCGAAATGGTAGGTAGGATCGGGTACCACAGGTTTTGGGGCTTACGACATTGGTTTAACTTTCAGGTTTGCGGCTTAATGAAATGAGCCAGTGCTTGTGCTCCCCTTTCCAATATTAAAACGAAGTCAGGGCCGGGAACCTTCGGGAACTCGAAAATCCAACCGAGAACAATGATTCAGGCTCCATGCAGAGCCCGCCGTCAGATTTCACGTGTCCACACTACGCCCGTCCGCCTCTTTCCCACATCCTCACCGTCAACAAAATGTCGGAAACAACTAGATTCCTGTGGCTTGCCTTTCTTTGCTTTTTTGGATGTGGCCGTGGGCATGTCGGCAAAGAGTTTAAAATCCCAGACTGGGCCCCTGGCACCTTTCTCCACTAAACGAGCTGAGTGCTTGTTGGGTTCGCACACGGAAAACTGTCCTCAGTCCTCAAAGCCCCTCTCTAAACTGTGCAAGTGGGCCACTTCCTTTAGGCTTAAGCTGGACACCTGCTAGTTCCTCTCTTGCCTCGCATCTGCCTGTCACTGTCTCCCTGAACCCTTCTCTTCTTTGCACTTCTTTCCCTGCCAGGTGGGAGGGGTGGATGTTGGCTGAAACCGCGGAGGACAAGACGAGTGGCAAGAGAGCGGAGCTCCTCTACGGTCTTCTTGCAAAATCTTGCTGGTCTACTCTTACCTTGCAGGAGACCTTGCTGGATGAGATTGACGATCCTGAGGAGCACGAAAAGGACCGATTGTGCGAGGGGCTGCTGAACAGGAGGAATTTACTTGAAGAGGACTTCATCGCTGCTGGTAGGTACTGTAGTTGCTGCCGTACCAGTACCAGGGCATGTGCTTCAGCTGATGCCTTTGCGGATTCAGAGGAGTTCACGAAGGACCTCTTCAGGCATGAGGTCTCTGTTGCGGTTGGCAGCGGATGCTTCAGTCGAAACTGTCCTGGCAGGCGCGTGTGGAAAATCAACGACCACGTGACTTCAAGATTGAGAGACAGGATGGGCTTCACCACGATGAGCGTGGCACGATTGAAAATACCTCAAGTCTGTTGCAGGAGCGAGCGTGCGCTGCAGTGCGCTCTGCCGATTTTTTGAGAGATTCCGTTTCCAAAGGTGCTGTAGTTGTCGAGTGGACGCACCATTCTGAGTAGGTATCTTAGTGCTGGACGCGTCCCACCGGGGTGAGGGTCTCAACGGATGTCAGGAAGGGTGGCGGATGAGGAAGTTCCGCTACGGCCGTTTGAATGCTGCTTGTAAGGAAGAAGGCACTTCTGCCAGAAGGCACCCGCTGTGTGAATTCCTTCTGGGGTCTCGAGGCCGGAAATCCGATCAGAGATGAGACGGGTCTCTCGACCACTCCTTGACAGTATGTGAAGATTTGTAATGTGTGGCCAGGCCCGATGGATAGCGCTGGCAGATGGTGAGGAGTACTGGCCGCAAGGCTGTCTGACTCTGCCCGAGACCTTCCGCAGGGAGCATGCCCCTCTTGAAGGACATAGTCCTCACATGTCCTCAGTCCCACCACGTCCCGTCTTCGCTGAGCCTTTCCGTTGTTTCCTAGGTCGGCTGGCTACCTGAAGTCAGGCTGGGAGCAGCCAGCCGAGGAGGCTCCGCATTCGTCCAGCAAACCGTGCTGTGAGCCTTCTTGGACTTCTCAAGTGACGACGTCAGACTACAGAACCAACCTCGGAACTACACCCTAAACCCTAAACCCTAAACCCTAAACCCTAAATCCTAAACCCTAAACCCTAAACCCTAAACCCTAAACCCTAAACCCTAAACCCTAAACCCCAAAAACGACCCATCGAACAGAGCAGCCCTTCGGTGCCCCGGACAGGCGCGGGCTGGACACTGGCGAGTCTTTGCAGCACGTCCCTTTGGAGCGCATGAGCTCGTAGAGGCAGTGGGCATGGGGTCATGGTTTTTTTCGTGGCAGCCCAACCCACATGCAATTCTTAACGCTGCATGAATGGCCTGCGAGTTTGCATGTCGGTCCCGTTGGAGATTCTGGGCACATATGGCGGATCTAGATTGAGGAAGCCCCCATGTGGGGTGGGCGAGTCACTGCACTCACGCCACAACAGTGCAGACCCTCCAAGGAAAGAATTTGCATGCTCAGCAAGCCATCAGCCTCATCAGCCTCTTGGATTGTGTGAGAACTTTCGGAAAACGCCTTTGCGAAGGAATTTATGAAGCCGAAGACCACCAGTGGAGTCCGTTCCGTGCCAAAGAGTGTACAGCGAGGAAGACAAGAGGAGACAAGGTCAGGCAGAGATAGGCAGAGGCCACTCAAAGGCCGGCAGGCCTATCTCGACTAGTTGGAAATCCCCCAAAAGGAAATGAGAATCCCAAAACAGCCGACTGAAAAACAAAGGCAGCACAATCACAACAGTGTTTGCCCAAGCATACCTTTTCCAACGTTGCATCGCTCAGAAGTTGCTGCTGTCGGCCCGGACCTTTTTTGTTCAGAGGCGGGCTGGTGCTTGGAGGTTCAGGGTACTTGTTAAGCAACCAATTACTCAACAAGTACCATGAACCTCCAAGTAGCAGTTTTTGTTTTGTTCCAGTGGTCCGGTGTCCTGGAGGCCAGAGAATTCCGCCGGAGAGTCCTGCTGAGCCTCCCTGAAGTGCTTATTCTAAGAGAATCCCAGGGAGATTCCCGTCGAATATCAGTGATCACCCCGAAACATCACCAAGTGTCCGTGGGAGTGCCCCCAGATCCCGGACAAGGTGCCCACCGCAGAGAATCCGATTCTCTGCAAGAACCCCGCCGAGTATCCTTGAGTGCCCATGCCCAGAGACTTCGGCGGAGCCTGCGGCGCAGTATATCCAGAATTACCTGTCCGAAAACTTCAGGTCTGATATACGCGATATATTCTATATCATGTATCGCATACCATATATCATTTACCATACATCATATACCATATAGCAGATCTCAGATCCCACATCTCACATGTCCAATCATATCATATGTCACACACTTTCACATCATATCGCATATCCTAGATCAAAGATCATGAATCATATACCATCAATCATATCGCGGCGGATGCAGCTTCGTCCTTTTTGCTGGCGTGCAGGTTTGTCCGCTAGCAGAAGTTTGATCCCAAGGGCCTGATGCAATGTGCATTGTAGCTTGATGGTTGTGAGATCCACGGCTGTGTGCAGATTGGACAGTTGAGTTAAGGTGGATTTGGAAACATGTATTGTGCCTCAGCTACCACAGATTGAGCCGACACTGGTTTTGAAAGCCATCTTTGCAACTCCAGGGCAGAACTGCCAGAAGACATGTGGTTGGGTAAAAATGCAGTCGGATGCAGCTTTGGTTTCTTGAGTCGGCTGAGGCCAGTTTCCAGCTACGCATGAATGTAGTCGAGACTCCCGCGGATGAGGATCACGCTTGCAAGCACGGCGTGCACGTTGTCGGACGCCAGAACCACCTTGTGGGGGTTGTTCTGAAAATGCATGTGATGAAAGATGTTCTGCATCGTTGTTGTACAGGATGCCAGCTACACGGGAAAAACGGGCCGAGTCAAGAACTACGTTGCTTGGAGGCATCAGATCTATGTGCCACTGAGTTGGGGGCCTAGGCTCTATGAAGATGGGTCCTACACCATTGATACCTTAAACCCGTTTATGTCCTGGATTGGCTTTGTACGAATGCCTTGAAATTTCAAGGGGCTAGCAATCCCAAGCCCCTAACCCTTCAAAAAACCAAGAACTCAAACTCCTCAAGCTCAAAATCTGTACGACCCTCAAGCTCTAGACCATGAAACCCTTCAACTAAATCCCTTGACCTCTGTGGGGATACCATTTTTGAGACATGTCGAATAAAGAGTATCCAGTTGCAACAGATGCTGCTTGCTGTGTCCTTTGAAGCTTAGGTGCCTCTAGGCTTTGGCATGCTCTACCAGCAGTCCATTGAGCTTCCAGATGTGACTCAGCTCATTCATTAAAGAGTTTGGGAAGAGTCCTTCAGCCTAAACCCTAAACCCTAAACTCCTTAAACCCTAAACCCTAAAACCTTCGGCGGAGCTGAACCGGTGATGCAGGTCGAAATCAACTGGACGCCTGTTACCAACTTCAACTGCAAGTTCGTTCCAGTGGGAAAGCCTGAGACTCGGTTCGAATTTGCACTGCGTCCTGCACCGAATGGAAGTTTCAGTGGACCAAGTCACATGTACATCTACACCACCCGGAAGATCCAGGCTTCTTACTGTCCGATCACGCTGTGTGGGTCTTGCGCAGTGCACAGAAGAACCTTGGCAGAAACCGAGCAGGCAGATGAGGAGCTCATCCTGGAGTGACCCGAAAAGATCTTCGAGTTTTCCGAAAGGGGATCTCGTCTGCTGTGTTGTTCAGGTTTGTGGTATACGGACATGTATTCTGGGTGTGGTGCATCCAGGTACAAGCGGTGCTTCAGAACTGATGAGGCCGAAGAACAGTCGAAGACACTTGCTCACATGTTCATCGTTCTTTTCCAGGGTGAGTCGATCAACTTCGAAGGCTTCACCCCCTACTGGTAGACCGGCTGCACTTTACACCTGTCGTGTACAGATGTGAGCAGAGCGAAGTGGCATGAGGTGTCGACAGGAGCATCCAGACTGCTTCCGCAAGGCTTTGTGGGCGATGTGCTGATGTTCACACGTTCTCGTTTCTACGAAGCAGCAGATTTCACGGACCCAAGTCCTTCGGCATGGTGCACATGGCAGCGCGGCAAAGCCCCCAAAGTCTGTGACCTTCTTCTCCTTCTTCAGGCGCTGACAGCCCCATGCGGACCGCGGAAAGTGCGCCCAATCCCTGGGAGCGTTAAGTTCGGCAAGCCAGGACCCCAGCGCCTGGTGCCAGGGCGTCACCAAACTCTGCACACTCCCACACACGCACACTGTGTGCGCACAAAAGAACACGCGCTATGAATCAATTATTTTGTTTTTAATTTCTCGAATCGCAATCAACCCAACTTGGTGTTGCAGGATTAAGTTGAGAGGTTGACGAACTTGGAGGCGCATGTCACAGCCCTCCAACATCACTTGATTCCAGGGCTCTGCCAGCAGAGTGTTGATGAAGGGGCTGTGGTTGGCAGGCTTATCAAGCCCTGACGTGATGAAAACTCTGTCAGACGTTGCCCCTCGAGTCACTTGCTGGAGCGTTGCGCGTGACAAACGCCTTTTTCGTTTGCACTCAACACCTGCTCGCTCTTTCACCCGTGGGCGATGAACCCGAAAGCCTCAAGCTTCGCTTCTATACGGACGCCAACCGTGCTCCCGACGTACAGCATGCTCACAGCACATCCGGGATGATACTCTGTAGAGAAGGTGAACACACGTTTTAGGAAGCAGACAGCGGCCAGCAAGGCCGAGATAAATTTCACTGGGCTCCAGGGTGTTCGGGAAAGCGCTACCCATGCTACAGTTCATTGAAAAGGTCCTCGGCCGAGAGGTGCCGCAAAAATGTCATCAGCACAACATGGCCGTCAGATAGTCCATGCAAGCTACAGCATGAAATTTCGGCGTACGACTCACAGGATTGATCTTTCATCCCTGCATGAAGTCTACAAGGACCCTAATATGTGCGCTTGCCGTACATGAACACTGAGAAGCACCGTGCCGATATCTTTACGAAGGCTTTAGACAGTTTTGGTGCAGATAGGCGCTGTTTCTCGGAAAGCAAGACTCACGCACAACCGATTAGGCCTTTTGCGCGCGTGAAGGGGAAGTAGATGGATGGTATAGGCTTGAAAGGCATGCCCAAGTACACCTGGCCGAATCCCACGTGGAGGAGTAGGAACCATCTTGAAAGAAACTATCTGGCTCAGGAACAAATCAGGTCCTGCGCAGCTGTGAACGCAAAAACCTCCGGAGCACGACTTGCTAATAGTATGATTAGACTCATTAGACATAGCCCACCTGTTTGCAACTCCCAGGCTTTCTGCCTCTTTCTGAACCCATGGGCTCTCGATACTTGCCGTCCCCTCTGTCTGGGCTTTCAGGTCAAGGCTCCACGGCCGCGGTGTCTTTGCTGATGCGGCATTCAAAGAGGGCGAAATCGTTGAGCATCGGCCTGAGAGATGTAGGCTCATGTCTAGATGCCTTCGATTTTCTCCGGGACGGGATGGAAAGCACACCCACAACAACGGCTGGAAATCCTGCAGGATGTGTCCCTGCCTCATCATCGACACGAACGGTGCCGACTGCATGCAGGAGGGATTTCGGAGGAACTCCGAGGTACCGGATTTGCTGAACTACAAAAAGGGCATTGGAATGATCTGCAGGATCACTGCTTCCAGCTCCCGGAAGTCAAAATCGATGTGGAAGGTCAGATTGTGTGTTGATGCACATGAGCATGCTCTCTTGGCTGTGCAGTGCTTTGCTGTGGTTTGCGAGTCTTTTTGCCGTTTGGCTCCTCTGCTCTGTGTTCATGGCTTGTTGCATGACTAACACCCACAGCTGGACCTCGTCAGGTGGAAGTGTGCTGAAGCGCCAATCGCGCTACATCCTTCCTTGTGGCCACGTGCTTGCAGTATGCATTGGTCGACGACTTTAGCCTTGCTCACTTGGTTCTTGCTGGCTGCTGATGCCCGAGGATACGGTGGCATGTACAATCATCTGGAGCGCGGCCAAGGCCACACTCCAAAGTCTTTCAGAAGTGCTGCAGAAGTTGCTGTGCTACGACTGATGTCTGCTAATGCATGACTCTATCTCATGCCAGGAGAGAATGTGCAGTGGTTCTACGCGTGAAACTTACCCAAGGATCAGTGCTCGCGGCAGAGTTGGCAGGGGTAATTGTAAGTCCATTAGTTCTGTTTAGTTCCGCTTTAATCTTGACCCGGGGACCGGCTGCAGAGTAGACCTGAGGATGAGACAACTCAATGTTGCGTCTGGGTCGCTCATCCACCGGACAGCTTTTGTTTTGCAGTGTGGCAACTGATGTCGCTTGGTGGGCCTGATGCAATGTCTTCGTATGGTCGATGTTGTCCATAGGACGGCAAGGATGAACTGCAGCGGAATGAGGAACTCTGCTTTGACTACGGTGAGGTGTGGGCTGGGCATCCTGTGTCAGTTGGCAGTGGACGTGGTCATGACCCAGATTGCAAGGCTTACTGGGATGCCCCGCACCGCCGCTTCCAACGACCTGCCGCCGCCCAATGCCCAGTTTTTCGCCGCAGATACAAAGCGGCCAATTATGCTGTAAATGCATGTGCTTCCTTCGCATAATGAGATGTTGACCTTGACACTGCAGGCGCGGTCCATGGTTGAAGCAGGCGGTTTAAAGTGCAACGACCTTTCTGAAAAAAACATTCTTTGTGAAGGGTTTCTCGGACAGAAACCCCCAATAAAGGACACAATGAAGAGATTTTGAGGTATCTGTACTCATTGTATTCAATCCCACTCGCTTTGTTATTTGAAAGAATATCTACTCTATAAAACGCTACGGTCAAACCAGCCCTATGCGGTGCGTCACGCCTCGGAGTGCCCCAGCCCCAAAATTTTCCGGAAATTTCTGGACCCCGGCGAGCAAGCCGCTTTGGCCTACCCGGGACCCAAAATTTCCGGGAAATTTTGGGGCTTGGGCTGTGCCCTTTGAAAGGCTGGGCCTCTTCGACGGCCGCAAGCCGGATTCGCTCCCCTAAATTTCTGGAAAATTTCTGGTTCCGGGTAGCCCGAAGCCTCGGTCCCTAAATTTCCGGAAAATTTGCTTCATCGTTTTCCTAAATTTTCCGAAAATTTACACACCCAAATTTTCAGGAAATTTAGGAAACGGATGCAGCCTGATCATGTTCAGAAGCCACGGCCCAGCTCCCTAAATTTCCGGAAAATTTAGGGTGCTGGGTGGCCGAAAATGTCGAAGCATTGTTGACCGCTTGAACCGTTGAGTTCAGGTGTTGATCATTTGCCATGTTGCTGCATGCTTTCATTGCATGCTTTCATTGTTTTCAATCGTGCTTTGTTTTGTGGCATTACAAAGCTAAAATATTAAACAGGACTTTTACTTCACTTCCAAGATGAGCGCATCACCTGGCATTACCAGGATATTACGAGCGTGCTTTGTTTTATGGCATTACAAAGCGCATTACCTGGCAATACCAGGTCGTCGTCGTCGTGCGTCGTCGTCGTCGTCGTCGTGCGTCGTCGTCGTCGTCGTCGTCGTCGTCGTCGTCGTCGTCGTCGTCGTCGTCGTCGTCGTCGTCGTCGTCGTCGTCGTCGTCGTCGTCGTCGTCGTCGTCGTCGTCGTCGTCGTCGTCGTCGTCGTCGTCGTCGTCCGTCGTCGTCGTGCGTCGTGCGTCGTGCGTCGTGGGTCGCGCGTCGTGCGTCGTGCGTCGTGCGTCGTTCGTCGTCGTCGTCATCGTCGTCGTCGTCGTGGTCGTCGTCGGGTGTCGTCGTCGTCGTCGTCGGGCGTCGTCGTCGTGCGTCGCGTCGCGCGTCGCGCGTCGTGGGTCGTGCGTCTTGCGACGTGCGTCGTGCGTGCGTCGTGCGTCGGGCGTCGGGCGTCGGGCGTCGGGGCGTCGGGCGTCGGGTCGGGCGTCGGGCGTCGGGCGTCGGGCGTCGGGCGTCGGGCGTCGGCGTCGGGTGTCGTCGTCGTTGTCGGGCATCGTCGGCGTCGTCGTGCGTCGTGCTTCGGGCGTCGCACGTCTCGCGCGTCGTGCGTCGTGTGCGGCGTCGTCGTCGTCGTGGGAAGTCGTCGTCGCGTGTCGTCGTCGTGACGCGTCGTCTTGGTGGTCGCGCGCGTCGTCGTCGGCGTCGTCGGCGTCGTCGCGCATTGTCGTCGTTGTTTTGCGTCGTGCGTCGCACGCCGACTCTATCAAACGCTACGGTCAATTTAGTCTTATGCGGTACGCTACACGTCGGAATATTCTAATCCTAAAATATCCCTATAAAAGGCTACGGGCTCGACCCCTATTTTCGCTCTGCGGCCGCCCCGTCGGATGCCCCGCCTCCTCTTCCGGTCCATTTGGCTGCTTGTGAGGGCCTTGCAGGGGGATCCTGAAAATTCCGGGAATTTTAACAGTTTTTGTCTAAAAATCCTGGGAATTTTGGGAATCACCCGGAGCTGAAAATTCCCGGAATTTTAGGAATTGTCCGGATTGAGGTTTGGCCTTGCCGGGTTGGATTTAAGGTTCCAGCGCAACAGTGATGACGTGGGTGCCCCTTCACCTTCAAGGAAATCTTCAAGGAAATCTCTTGGTCCAGGGTAGTTCCGATGACGGTCGCCGCCCGCCAGCTGTTCAAGGGGGTTCGGCCTCACGATCACATATCAGCAACAGCTCTCGAAAAATCCTAGGAATTTCAATTCCGGGAGTTTTCGGGATCCCCCGAGTTCAGGGTTTTACGCTTTACGGTGTAGGGTTTTGGGGTTTAATAGAAATTGTATAGGGTTTGTGTCCGGAGTTTTGTCGTGTTTTGGGGGGGTTTTGTTTTTTGCTTTTGCTGTAATGGTTTGGGTTCTGTCGGGTGTGGTGGGGGGTGGGTGGTTTTGGGGAGGGGTTGGGGCTGAAAGGCTGGGGTTTTGGGGGGTTTTCCCGAATGCCCGTGGTGGTGGTCCCGTGGTGGTGGTCCGTGGTCTCGTGGTGTTCGTCGTGGTGGTCCCACAGCGTGGTGGTGGTCCCGTGGTGGTGGTGCTCCTTTGGTAGTGGTGGTCTGTGGTGGTGGTGGCGGTGTCCGTGGTGGTGGTGGTGGTGGTCCCTGGTGGCCGTCGTGGTGGTCCCGTGGTGGTGGTCCCATGGTGGTGGCCGGGTGGCGGTGGTCCGTGGCGGTGGTCCCCGGTGGTGGTCTCGTGGTGGTGGTTCCGTGATGGTGGTCTTGTGGTGGTTGTCTCGTGGTGGTGGTCCCGTGGTGGTGGTCCCGTGGTGGTGGTCTCGTGGTGGTGGTCCGTGGTGGTTGGTCCGTGGTGGTGGTCCGTGGCGGGGGTCTGTGCGGGTGGTTGTGTTGGTGGTCGTGGTGGTGGTCTCGTGGTGGTGGTCCGTGGTTTGGAATCTTCTTTTCAGGAATGCTTGGATCATTTGAATTTCGATTCATAAAGGGATTCCATAGGACCATCCAAATCTAATATTTTGATGCCATCGCCACGTTCTGGTGATCCATAAGAATGAGTTATGAATTTTCTTTTCATTCGAATTCTTTATTGAATACGATGGATATTATTGGAGGAGGTTGAAATCATATTTCGTCTCATCAGAATATTTTTTGAATCGATGGT